GTTTGGGTTAGCACACATGCAAATGAACTAAAAGGGAGTGTTGATGAGATAAACAAACATTCCTATTTACATTCCTCATTTTGTTGGATATAAGTAAATACTAACCTTGGCTGAAGGTTACATAACATGGCTAATCCTATTGCAAAGCTTTTTGGTGTCTTCATTTATCAAATCACTGTTTTAGAAAGCCCTAGGCACTGCACCTAGCACCTAGGCAGGCACCTAAGCGGCACATAGATGTTTCTTTAGCAGACAGAGGATCTTTTTCAAAGATTCACTTGTATCGAGTTTTGATCTGATCCATTCTAACCTGACCCGTTCCCTTCATCTAATGTTGTGCTTAAGCAGGCAATGAACCCCTTCTTGACACAATGAGTCCATGTAAGCGGCCATGTTCGTCTAGGCATTCTCGAGAATTAAACAGGCGGCCTAGATACCGCTTAAGTCTATGTGGACGCCTTGACCACTTTTTAAAACAATATATCAAATCATATATGATACGTTTTTTGGGGTACTCTTTAGGATTTGGTTGTGTCTTGTCCTGTCATGCAGCCTTGTACTTGCACAATCAATGTAAATTACAGTCAAGTCTGTAAAACTGAAACTGCCATATAAGGGCTGAGTTATCAGTATCCTATCACTATCACTTTCCCTGCAATCAGAATTCAGAACACTTTGATCGATAGATACACAAAATCAATTTCAGCCCGTCGTATTCTCATAACTTTTGATGTGGTTCTTTTTTTGTTAAATAAGAGAAATGAAGATATGTTGATATAAGTCGAGTTAGTTCTCCAAGCAAGATATGTTGCTAGAAATGATGATATGCTGACTGATATAAAATTATGATTGATGTAGAAATAAAATTAAGCTCATTCAATAGTTCAGTCTGGAATGTAAGTTTTGTTTGTTGAATAAGAGAATGAATTAATAAAAATATTTTATACATTGATTTAACTCTGGAATCAAGATAGGCAGTCAGAATAGAAGATTTATGGGATACAGTTTTAATGCATAAAGAGATTAGCATCACCTTCTTACTTGGAGGGCTAAGTTATCCACAGAGGATGAGTTAGGTCTACAAGTGAAATTTTGCAAAACCCCAACATTTGTAATTAATGGTAAAGCTTTGTCACATTGATTGACAGCTTTGCTATATACTTCATCCATTTACATTTCAAACTTTAACCCTAACTTGCCATCTTCAAGACACGATTAAAGACACGCAAACCCAATGTATGATACTAAACTAGAAGGAAGTTGGTTCGCTGAGATTTGCTAAAAACCCAAGCTTTCTAGATCTAGCGACTGAAAGCTACTAGTTTTCAGTCCTTTTAACTAAGTTGGTTTTTTTAACCTTGCAGCAAAACTCAGTAGTCTTTCTTGCAATTCCGACAGCTTTTTAGCTCGCCATGGTAATTGTGGCTGATGACCTAACGTATTTAAATAGAAGTCTAAGTACTTGTATGAGCTGACTGGAGTGCATTGCATGAGCATCTTGAAGTGTAGGCATGTCACAGTGTGGGGTTTCCTTGGGACACCTGTGATTTGTCATGTGATGTGTATATTATTGATGATCACACTGGGATATCTGATCAGTGCCCCGAGTCCTCCATACTTGACTATACAGTGGTCATCTTAACAGTAAATTTATAAGAGATGACATCATATTGACGTATGCTAGCCTTTGTGCTCAATGTACTGTGGCATCTTGGATAATCAGCCAATTGAAATTGATATCAAGCCACCTATTTCAGTTTATGGAGGACCAGATCAAAGTCTATACTCAAGTAATTTTGTAATTCTTCATATGCAACTGTTTGTGTTGAAAGGCCCTTTCATGGATCTGGGCTGTTAGTGTAATGCTAGCGCTTAATCATTGATCCTTCAACAGCTTTTAACAATTGCCAGAAGTTACTCTCCATCACATTTTACTAGTCTTTAGGCATACTTCTGATGAGTGACGAGTCATAGCCAAAGTGAACTAAACCCCCAAAATGCTACTCCTGTTGCACCATTAAAGTAAGTTAATAACCTAACCTATATAGTCTAAGGACCACTTATAACTTTGCGTTATTGGGGTTTCATACATCCTTGTACAGTGTTGCTTTAGTACCACTCGTTCTCTGCCAGCACACACTGAGTGATATTCAATTAGCAAGTACTATACTTAGTTCAAATGAACTAATATATATTCAATTAGCAAGTACTATACTTAGTTCAAATGAACTAATATAGAACCTGCTCTTGTTTTATCATGTATTTTACTCCACATTGTTATCTTCACAGTTGTGATATTTACTTGAAATGTTTGGGCTCAACACTATTAGCAGTCTAGCTATACCAAGCTTGAACCTTATTGCTGGCAGATAAATCTTGTTAGTTCTATGAGCGTTTACTTCACTCGTTTTTCATACATTCCCACTTTCCATTCCATTATCCTTTTATCATCCAACATGCTCAACTGTAGACAGCACAGATCCGTACGAGTTCTGGAATTCTGAGTTTGGTTTTGTTTATTATGGGTATAGCCCATGTTATCTAAAGCATAGCTATTTTTGAGAAAGAATATGCATCATATTGTGTCTCTTGAGGGTTGAACTCTCTGGTCTCTCTAGACCTTGACCTTAACCACCAGGCAACACATTAGTAGTTAAAAAAGCCTTGGTTCCAAAGACCACTATTCAGTGGTGAGCCCAGTGCAATGGTTTTCTGTTGCTATCTTGTTTCAGCACATATTTGTTGCTAGCATCTATCACCCATATTGCATCCCTGGCATTTGTACGCTTTTTGCCTTGCAATCTTCTGTGAAGCTGCAATCTTATGCTGTTAGGTGAATCTTTCTGATGCTCCAATTGTCTACTAATCGACTAATAGCCTAATGCGAAGTTTGCCTCAATTTTTTATCGTTCGGTGTGACACTACCTTAAACTCTATTTGCATTTGCCAGTCCTTCTAGTTGCAGATAAAAATTATATTTTAGCAAAGTAATTACTCGAAAAGATCTGCATATGCTTAGGTGTTGCTTTTTAACATGAATTTTTCAGTGCATAGATCTGGAATATACTTCTAGAATGATAATAAAATACCTGAAGGATGGGGTGCAGTGGGATTCTGTTAAAGCTGAGTGGGAGAAAACGTGCCAACAATGGGGGGACATGAGGAACCCTTGTAAAATGTTTTCTGTGGTTAACAGAAGCTCTTTTGCTTCTTTTTTTTTTCTGATAAAATATTTTCTTCTTTTGGCCTCTTTAGGGACTATACAATAAACGCTTCCTAAAGAGTCTTGCTAAGTACCCATTTTGTACATAGCTTATCTGCTGCTTTACAGCCTTTAGAGTGCATTGAAGGTTTGTTTTCATGGCAATGCTAACCAGAACACTAGTAGCTCATTTCGTATAATGTTGAGTGTAGCAAGAAAGATTGCATTTCCTTTGGTTGTAGTTTGCAGCCAAATGTTGCATCGTCTTGCAGCCACTTAAAGTCTGTTATCAACAAGTTGTAAGTGTGTGATGTTCTCTCCTTTTGAGTCAGCAACATAAATATACAGCCTACAACTACAAGCATCATGACCTCCATCCAACGAAGCATTAGAATTGTGCTTGTAACAGTAATAGTTAGAATCAGAATAATTTTTTTTTTATTTTTTTTATTTTTACTTTTTTATGTACAACCAAATAGAGAACCCAATTTGTAGCACCAGTTAGTATTGCACCATCAACAAAATGTGAGCACATTTACAATTGTCAAAAGTGTTTTTATCTCCCTCATTGAGTAATTTAAATATTGGCTAATTATTATAAAACCCTCCTTTACTCTGGATGGTTATCAAAAAACACCCCCTAACTTTCACAAGAGAAAACCCCTTAAGTTTAGGGGATACCAGAAAACATTTAGGGGGTTTTTATGATAAAATCTCAAAGTTAAAGGGGGTTTTCTTGGTAAAATCTGANCCCCGTGATATTTACTCTTCAATATTTGCTTATATTTTAATAAAATTAAAGTTTCCAACAGTTGTGAATGGTTCAGATCCTTTTTACTGAAGCATTGTGCTGAAATCTTTGTTCATTCCCTCCTTCACAGGTAGCCATTCCCATTGTTCCTACAATCCGAGTCATCATCACCTTCACAAAATTTGAAGAGCTACAACCGCTCGACGAGTTCTCGACTCCCCTCTCCAGTCCAACCCATTTCCAAGAATCAAAATCTAAAGACACCGAATCATCAAGTTCTTGGTATTCATGGGTAAAAGGAAACCATAGAGGCCAATCTAGCGATAGTCCAGACTTCCGAAGCTCAAGAGATGAGCCTGATCCTTTTCATATACCATCAGATTATACTTGGGTCGATGCAAATGAGAAAAAGAAAAGGATGAAAGCTAAAAAAGCCAAGACTAAGCGAGGTTCAAGTAAGAAACAAACTTTGAGAAATACAGAAAGTAGCCCTCAGCTTACGGATGGCTTTGAGGACTAAGATAACGGGTTTTTAATGTATTTGAGAGCTTGAAGATGACTTGTAGTATCTGCTGATATGTACACTGTATTTCCGATGCCACGCGTTTCAAATTAAGTTTATTTGTTGTGTATTATTTTCTGGGGTTTTAACAAACATCATTTGTTACTGGTTTGTTTTCTAGTTTTCGACGTTTCTTGCCCCACTGTTGTAGGAGAAGCAATATTTGTAACTCGGAGGAAATGGAAAAGAGAAGAAAGGAAATTTGTAATGCTGAATTGTGAATGGAAATGAGTTCCCCCCTTAGTGTTCAATATTGTGTTATCCTTTTGTGAGAAACTTTGCTTATGCGTGTACTTTTGATTTCTGAAGGAGATATGTTGATTTGAATGCAGCAAATGGTGGTGCAAGTAAAGTTGATTATAGACTTAATGGACCTTTGCTTATGGAGAACATTCGAGGTTCTTGACTTTTGACATAAACAGTCTTATGTGAGACTCGAGCAATTTTGAAGAGTGAGAAAACGAAGACTCATAAGAACACTTTTAACTTTGTTCTACATTTCTTTCAAAATTTCTTCAATTATAAACCTCATTATTGCTAATGCAAGTACAAGTACAAATTAAAACATCTACTTTTACGTGTGCGATTCACAACAAGACTTCTCCCCTTGAGTAGGACATTATCGTCATCTTAACTCAATTCTCTTCACCTCAACAGTACTTCCCTCCCCTTGTTCAAGTCATCTCGATCTTGATCATAAGCGACCGAGCCTCATGAATCTGAAGAAATCTTCGACAATTTCGAGTGTTAATTCGCTACAGGCCAATTTCATCAGAATCATTTCAGTTTCCTTTTGAATCTATGTACATACATTGTCAGAGCTTAATTTCCTCAGGCATCTGATTCCATGTCACGAAATGGCAATGGTACAGTCTTCACTGCCCTGAACTTGCCAACATTGTTCAGGTGCTCGTTCTCCAACCTGTCAGCAAAATTATGTTTAAGAATCAGTTTACTCTTTATTTTACAACTTACAGTTGCACGAGGAGAAAAAAAAAAATACACCTGTAGAAATTCCAGTGTCCTCGTCGAATTATCTCCAACGAAGCTAGCAGAAAATCCACTAACCGATACTCAACAGGACCGAGACTCAGTCGAGAAATAGTCTCTATCCAGCCAAGCCTCAAAACAAAATTGAAAACCTGCATTTCAATAAAAAGTGAGCAAAAAGATTGAAATTTTTAATTGATAAGTTGTGCGGACTTACAATAGACACATAGTAAACATTCTTGTTCTTCAGTATAAGCTCATCTCTAAGCCATCGATTTTTCGAGTTCAGATCAAATAAACCCCAATCCTTGACAAAATCCCAATACAACTGATAAAATGTAGCCATCGTTGATGTCATAATAACCATAACCAACCAAAACATAGAAGGATTCACAGCGTATTTCCATCGAACAGCAGCTGCAAGCATAGCCGATACATACTTTCCACAGTTTGCTAGGTGATTTATATCGTATCCCTCTTCAATGTATCTTCTTATACACTGAAAATTTTAGTAAAAATATTAGTGAATGTTGTGAATATAAGAAAGGAGATTTATGTTGATTTTATTAGATTATGCACCTGCATTGCACGGCAATAATACGGAAGAAAGGATATAACATAAGCCAAGAGCTTGTATTGATGGCTACGAGTGCAAGTCTCATATGGGTCTGATTTCAGCAAACTTGCCACAAAATAGCATGATGTGAACTCCATATGCCTCAATAATGGTATCTGCATTCAATCATTTTGTTAAATATATCATATTATGTAGTTTTTCTTTTATGATAGTTTTTCTTGAATTAATTGCACATTGACACTGTGTAATATTTTTTTTAACTTACTCCTGTAATTTCATTGTTCCAGACAAATACCCCTGGGTTATTTTTTTTACTCTTTTACCCTCAGATATACCCACTAATTACACCCAGACGCAATATCTGCTAAAATCTCATCCAAGGTAGAATAGTCAGTAAAATTCAACCCAGGGTCTATCTGCAACAGTGAAACCGCAGGGCAGTAAGTTCAAAACAATGACACTACAGGGGTCTATGTGTAATTAACCTGCTTTTCTTTCTTCAGATTTTCTATAGTTGACAGTCATAAGAAATTAACTTAGACAAGGGTAATTACCTGACTAGTGAGCTGATCTGCCATGAAGAAATCCACCATCAACACCTAGAGGGGGCAGGAAAAAGAAAAAGACAGAAGAAAACTTGATCAGAAATCCAAGAGAAAAAAGAAAGAAAGAAGAAATCTTGATCAGAAATCCCAGAATGCTGAAAGGGGATTTAGATACAGAATTGAATACAGAGGATCTAGATACAGAATTGAATACAGAATTCACAAGTATACATTACTTTGTAGAATGGCGAGAATATGATATTGCGCATCACTCTCAGGAAGCAATAACGGGTAGAGCGATAGAGAACATTAAATGGGCAGATGAGGATTGCTATGAATAGCTGAAACATGAAGATGAACATAATGTTAAAGAGCATACATAGATTATGTGGCATATATGATGATATCTTCTTGTATTGTACGTTGATAAAGATATATCTATGATTAAGCATGTCTGAGGCCAAAACGAACATATTAATTTACTGGTCGTTTCACTAGATATTAAGCTAGATCCTCATAACTTCTTATTTGTTTTATACTATAGAAAGGACTTTAAAGTGATATCTGTGCAATCAGGTTCGAATTATCAGACAGACGTTTAAAGCAGATTTGAGAGCTGAGAGAGAATATTTTGAGGTACACATTTTTAAATCCACTTTAAATACATGTTTCGTGTTTGGTGAGATTTAGATCTGGGTTGCTCTGATACCATGTATGTGCTCCTAAAATCTTATTAATAGAAATTTATATATTGGATTAGATATTTACCAGCAAGAGAATGCCAGGGAGGGCATCGACATGATCTCTAGAAAACCCTGATGATTTAAGCACTAATTGGATGACGAGAGCTCCGACAACGGTAGTCATGAAAGAGGTGCATATTAGAAAAGCATCTCTATGCTTCAAAGCCGTGGTTGGAGAAAATTCAAATATGAAGTTGTGGTTTATTCTGGTGTCCTTCCACATGAAGAGATTGCAACCATACAAGAATATGTGCAGGCTCAGAAGAGCAAACATGCTGCGTCAAAAGAGAAAAATACCAACATCAATATCATGTACTTCAATCTTGTATTTTTTTTAAAATTTTTACAAGTTAAACTCTGAAGTTCACTTAAATAATCTACAGGGAAAAACAAAGGAAAAAAAAAAACAAAAACAAAAACAAAATAGGGTTATGCCTAAATGCTTAATATGACTACGAAATCAATTTAACTTCAAAAGGATTCATTATATAATTTTCTCAAGCACGATATGCTTTCTCCACAATGAGATTGATTAGTCTACCAAATAGTGGTGAATTTGGACTCAAGCGAAGGGGGGAAAAAGTATCCTTGATTAGTACATAATCATTTCTCCTAGCATGATTCCTTTCATAATGGTAGAGTCAAAAACTTCTCATGCTAAAGTTTTCTATGTTTTTCTTAGAAAAAGTAACTAGTGTATTTCCCTTTTTTGAAAAGTTATGGGGGGATATTAGTGAGAACAAAGACTAGTGGATTTTCTTGGTGGAAACACTACAATGACAGTTCACACATTTCTAAAAATGAATTCTGAGTGGGTTCCAAACAAGTAGAGAAAATAATAATACCTGAAAACAGGGTAAACAGTTTCCATGTAACCAACTTGAGTTGAAGTAGAGAAAATTCCAGATAAATGTGCCAAGATTGCGTACACACTAAATAAAGCAGCAAAGCTACCCGTGAACAAACCTGCAACAGAAAAGAAAACAAATCAAATAAGTAAAGGGGGGGAATTATTTCATTTAATTTCATAAAATTTTATTTTAGGTGAATGAATTGGGGCAGCGATGGTGGTCCTTATCTTGTAAGTGATATGCAACAACACAGATTGCTTTTGTTAATCAAATGCACAAGAATCAAGTGTGATTATGATCATTATTGCGGTAAAAACAAAAGAAATTGTCTATGTTGTTTCTTTCTTTTCCAAATTACAAGCATTAATCACTTTGGTACTTCAGAGCAAGTGCTAATTGAATCCCACCTTAACTTAATTAAGACATTAAAACTCACAAAAATAGGAATATGAAAAATAAATAAATCACCAATAAAACCTTTGTTGTCCCATCACTTCTAAATATTTGGGATAGAAGATGTATTTTATAATTTATCCTTCTCAAAATATACTCAGATGATGAGAAATGTATTAAACATGTTGTGAGAGAAATCAGGCCCAATGTAGAGTTGATAATCCTTAAACAAAAGTTAGTAGCCAACTTTAACCCAAAAGCTATAGCCGTTAGTTATTGACCCAAGCTCCTATTTAAACCCATCATTCTTTTATGTCTTATTCTATTTGGGACTATACTCACATATTGATCCCCTCAACAACTCCCCCTTAATTTGTGAGTATAGTTTAATTCAACTATAATTCAATCTTCCATGAGATTCACTAACATTTGCACCACTTCACTCGTAGGCTAACCAAACCATGCATTCAGCACATGGCTATCAAACATCCCACCACTTCACTCGGTGGTTAACTAGACTATATTACTCCTATGAGCATCCATGGACCTTAGCTTTGATAACATTTGTTGGCTGAGAAATTGGGCCGAATCTAGTGGAGAATATACACCACCTCAAACTCTAGCGTTATTAACAAACACACCGATCCGCCCAAATGCAGCCCACACTTTTTTCACCGCCTTCTAGATCTCGGACCACTTATAGCACTCACGTCGAGCCCCACGGCCACAGATCGAACGGTCGAGATCTCACGATCAGGCAGCCAATGCCACATGGCGTTGATCTCATCGCAAAGAGACTTCAGTCTCTCGATCATTCTAGGGTCGACGAGCCTTAAACAGAAGTTAAGAACCAAATTTAATCCCAAAGCTATAGCTGTTAGATATTAAACCAAGATCCTATTTAAACTTATCATTATTTCTTATCTTATCCGATGTGCGACTATACTCACATATTAAAACCCCAACAGAGCAAAGTTGAGCGGTAATAAGTACCACTGAAGATATAGATAATAACGGTTACTCATAAGAAAACTCGTAGTAATTCCATTTCAAGCACAAATCATAATAGAATGTTGGAGACAACATTATACTGCCTCATGCATACATACTTAGAAAGTCTTAGTCTTGCGCATATCATGTATCTACTTATCGATTATGCAAATTTAAACTCATACAAATAAAATACATTAATTAATTCATATAATGGAGACGATGAGCATATATACCTACTAAAAAAGTAATGATGTGAGAGTCTTTGGGTTGTTGGGGCCTCAAAAACTTCATTGCTTTCTTTCTGTCATTGCTCGCAAAGTGCTTTGTAAATGTGGATTCTACTTCATCCACGAGTCTCACCACCTGAAACCATCAATTGCTTCCTTGGTCAATATTTTATCTTTCTATAAATAGTGGAAAACTATTTCTCTAATCTTATTTAATTGTTGGATAATGAGCGTTTCTTCTATTACAATCGTTTGGTAATATATATCTAACATTGAATTTTTTCTTCCTTTTTTTTACTTATTTGAATTAATATGAACTAGAAATTTCTATTGATTAGTGAAAGTGATAAAAAAAGGGTATAGGTAAATGAAAGGCTGCAACTAAGGGTAAATTTCACGAAACCCCCCTAAACTTTTAAATTTTCCTACACACCCCCAATTGAGTTAATGGGTCAACAAACACATATTTCCTACACATCAAAATAATGACTGACGACACAATTAACACCATTTAGGGTATTTGTTGAGAAGGTTAAAAATTTAGGGGGTTTTGTAAGACACTCCAAATTCAAGGGGTTTGGTGAGGAAAACGATTCAAAGTGGGAAACTCAAGGAAGTTTAGAGGGGCTTCATGGGAAACCCACCAAAGTTCAGGGTGTTTTTGATAAATTTACCCTCTAACTTACTTAAGAAGATCCCGACGAATTTCTCTTCAAAGATCTAGCCGAGAGATATGGTCAGCGGGGCCCAAACAATCCACTTTGTAATATTGTTTGTAAGGTTAAGGGATGACGAAAGTTTGTTTCAGGATTCCTTATGTTTCTCAACTTTTCTTAATTTTGTCTTTTTTATGTTAATGACCCTTTATCTTTGTGCTCATAATAATTATAATAATTAAACTTCCCTGTTAAGGAGAGAATAGATGCTAAAATGATCTAATACCTTGTCGGAGCTGATGAAGTGTGATCTCTTCACTTTCTTCAAGTACGAACCTGGATCCCTTTGGTTTGATACCTTCACATTTCAACAAAACAAATATATAGTCAATTAGCACAAATTTATCCAACTGTCATATATATATATATATTTTAAGAGAAATACTAACAATATAGTTAGTTTATTGATACGGCGCATATCTATAATTACAGTTATCATAATGAAGATAGTAATTATCTCAATGCATGTCATGTCAGCAACACTTATATGTCTCGATGAAAAAATATTTATTATGGGTACCCTTTTAATTTCTAACTTTTGGGTGCATATAATTTGTTGCTAACAAACTCCAACAGTTCCATGCCTATCTTGTGAAAGATGGGTAGCCTCAATACTCTTTTTGGCTCTGCCCACCAGACAACGATCTAATGGTCTGGACCCCACCCTCACGTAAGGATGACGTGGCACACTAAGGCATGTTAATTAGATAGTAACCCTCGTTTCATTGTTCTATACATGTCGGCCTCCAGCTGTTTTGAAGTTTGATTATTTCCTTAATTACCCTTCTATAATCATTTGATTCTTAATTGTGAAACTATTCCGAAATCTGCCTTTTTATGATTCGTATATTAGTTTCTTATGCTCATCCCATCTCTATATATAATTTAATTCTATGATGCTTCTTGTTGGATGATCGTATGACTCAAGAAGTTTCGGATAAAGGCTTCTTCGTTGTAAAATCTGCCTTTTTATGATTCGTATATTAGTTTCTTATGCTCATCCCATCTCTATATATAATTTAATTCTATGATGCTTCTTGTTGGATGATCGTATGACTCAAGAAGTTTCGGATAAAGGCTTCTTCGTTGTA